GCTGCTGGTGTTTAAATAGCTGGAGCTGACCTTTCCACACCCTCACCCCACACCAGGGATCCCAAACACCTCCTTCACCTCTCAGGGCTCACCAGTCTGTTAATGTTTTTAATCTCATGGGAGCCTTTGAGCAGCATTAAGACACTGGCACAGGTCGCCCAGAGAAGCTGGGGCTGCCCCATCCCTGGAAGTGTTCTAGGTCAGGTTGAACGGGGCTTGGAACAACTTAGTCTAACAGAAGACTCCTTGTCTGTGGCAGAGGAGTGTACCTAGATCATATTTTAAGGTCCCTTCCAACCCAAATCAATCTATGATTCTGTGATCTGTCCAAGCAGCCCCAGCAAGCTGAAAAAGGATCACGTTAAACATGACAGCAAGAAAATATAAAAGCCATGAAAACAACCTGGCAAGAGATGGAGCACCCCAGCTGGGATGTGGGGAGAAGGCAGGACTTAGGCATTGTCCCCCTTTTTGGCTCATCTCCACAGAGATGTTTGGGGAGAAGATACAAATCCCAAGTTAGAAACGGATGCATCCACTTGGATACAACATCCTACTTGTATGCTGCAGGGCCAAGGCTCAGCCCACACTGCCCACGAGTCTCCCCTTGCTCCAGCCATCCCCACCAACCCCTCATCTGCTGCCTTTCCCAGCATTTTTTCCTTCTTCTACACCTGCCTAGTGCAAGCACAGGCTGGGATGTGGGAAGTCCACTTCCCATCAGCTGGCCCTGCTGGCTCTGGGTGTCACATCCTGGGTGGAAGCCAACATCCCACTGCATCCCTACACTGCTCCTTGCTGGCCTCATCCAGCAGCTGCCAGTGTGTCAAGGGTCTGGATAGCAGAGAATGGGTGTAGCCAAGAAGAAAAGCAGAATGCCTGGACTGAGTGTGTGCACCAAGTGGCACACATCCCCTGGGTGCAACTGGGGCTATGGCTGCACCTTAGCTCCTGCAAGTTTCCCTGCAAGAAGGGGAACAGCAGCAACAATTTTGAGTTGCAGTATCTCCTGCTGGTATTTCTGTCAAGTCGCAGCTGAAGGAAGGATGGTCAAGCAGCCTTCTCTGTGCCCCATGTTGGGGCAGATAGGAAAAGTGGGTGAAATTTTGTATGAGAAGAAATGCCCAGGGGACATTCCTTTGCAAAGCCTCAAAGACATTCCAGAGAAAACCTCAGCTCCTGGCCACTGCCAAAATTCTTGCAGCTGCCCCACACCATCCTCCAAGCCCCTGTAACAACAGAAAGTACACTGGTTTGTGGAAGGGCTGTGCAACCTCCCTCTGACTGCCAGTGCCAGTGCCTGGGAGCTGCCTCCTCCTGCAGCCCAGGTCCCTCCTCTGGCCCCGAGTGCTGCCACAGGGAGGGATGGAAAAGCCATTCAGCATCCCTCTGAGCTGCTTTCCTGCTTGCATGGCTGACCGCCTCCAGCACTGCAGGCTCCCAACCTGACCAAGGAGAAACCAGACCAAAACAAGCACTGTGGAGGCAGAGGGAAAGCAGCCAGTTTGTTTTTTTTTAAAGGGATATTGAAGACCAGAGCAGAGAGCCAGCACAGTGAAAAACAGCCACGTGGGGACTGTGAAAATCAGAGCTGAGGAGAGGAAGATGGGAACGGTCTAATAAAGAGAGTCACAATATACAAAATACACAAGCGCCCACCTCCGCCAGGAAAGCTGTGGGAAGGGATTGTGGTGTAATCCCTGGCTATTTGAGACTGCCCAGGCAGACACAGTCTGGATCTGCAACTGGATCAAGAATAGACCATGAAAACTGAAGATTTTTTTTGCCCTGTCAACCTGAAACAAAATGCTTTCCCCTTGCACCATTTTTTTACTACATGGAGAAAATTAAGGGAGGTTAGTTGGCTGTGAGGATCCTCCAGCCTCAGGTAGCTCCCGACCACATCCACACACCATATGGAAAAGCATCTGCTTGGTCCCAGAAAAATTCCCCAAGTCACATCCATGCATTCAACAACCTCAGACCAAAACAAGTGTAAGCTCCCTGCCCACACTTGGCCCCAGCATAGGGCCCGGGGCTGGAGAACAGCTGGGTACAGTCATTGCTGCTACCGGTGTTTCTCTTCTCCAACCTGCACATAGTTGTCCCAGATCTGTCTAGCAGTAAGTGGGGACAGAAGGAATGACAGAGGCTACCTACTGAAGGGAACAAAGTCATTAATTACCCAGATAGGTTATGTTAAATTTGAGAGCTGTGTCCTCCCCACCAAGACACTGCTGGAGAAGCCCACTGTGACCTATAAACTCAAAAAACACAGTGCCAAGGAGCAACATCTCACAGGTAGTTACACCCAGCCTGAGTGATCTGAAGTAGCTGTTTTCCAGTCAAGTGAAACTTTTCTTATTGTTTGCTGTAAATACAGCTATGTTGTTTTCCTGACCATGTTATTTCTAGAATCCTTATCACACACTCTCAGATAGCCACAGCAAAGTCACACACTTCACAATCTTCTTTTTCTCCTATTCCCAGCTTTTCCAAACTATTTCTGTTCACAATCCCATCTGTTCAGAAGCTCTTCTATGGCAATGGGTGACACTGCCCTGGACCTCCACATCCGCACTGAACAGGTCAGCAAATGAACTTATCTTCCTTTTCCCCTTCTCTGCCGTGCAGGGACCTGACTCACAGATAGGGGTGAACTCAAATGTCATTTCTGATAAACATCTATTTTGCTGAGGAGCATGATGTGTTTATGGGCAATGAAGTGGGCCAGTGAGGAGCAACAGGCATGCACCAAGTCTTGCAACATCTTGATGCTTCTGAATACCTTGGTCTCCCGCAAAAGTCATCTTGTCTGGTCCTTGGGGCATTTTAAACACCAGGGAAAAAAATGCATAGAGGAAAAGGATTCCCAAGGTCTTGTGCTGGAAGAGAGACCACATTGAAAAATGGTCAGGTGGGCTGCATTGCACCAGCCTGGATACCAAAGGGAAACACCCTGGAGCAAAGGGTCTAAGAGGAGACAACAGCTGGTTGAAGGTTCCTTTGTTTCTGTACTGCTCCAAGCCAATCAAAACCTCACCTGCCACAACATCAGCTTTAGACCATGGTTTCACAATTTCCCTCAACAGATTAGCTGACGGGTGGGGGAAATTTTTATATATACTTTCTGTATCACAGAATATTTGACAAAGACAAGCAAGTTTGACAGGTAAAAAGAAAGCCTCAATCCTTAGGAGACATTTATCTTTACTGTCCTCATGAGTCAAAGCTGTTATTCAGCAATACTGTGAGCTTAGTGGAATGAATAGGCACCTAAGATTTATGAGAAATCCAGCACAGATTGCTGCCAAAGCTTCCCAAGGGATGTGGGTATCTGGAGCCAGGTGTAAAGAACTCAATGCTGAAATGCCTGGGAGATTAATCTATTACACAAATGGTGTAGGAGTGACATTCAGATGGCCTGAAAAGGGAACTAATATCTTTTTTCTCTGCTCTGCATTCAAGTTCTAAGTTTCCTTTTCCAAGCTGGCTTAGAAACACCAGGAGGACATTCACTCCTGTGGTTTTATGGCATTTATTTCTCAAGTCCAGGCAAGAACTTAAAAATGGAGGAGGGCTGTGATTTGTGCTCCCACTGAAGGGAAAATGTTGGTATTTAAAATCAGTTGAACTCAGTTTTGATCTGTTATTTTGAGAAACGATACTTGGAAAATGTTTCATTTGTACCATCTTTTAAATGTAAACCAAAATTGCTCCCATTGTTTCTTTCTGGGATTAAAAAGAAAGTCCAAGACTCCTGATCTGGACTAGTCAAATCAGGCTTTTTCCAATGTTTTACAGTTCTGGATCCTGGATTTTAGTTCTTTTCCACTACAAACCTGTAGAACTTTAACTCTTGCTTTTACAAGCTGCTGTGCTGCAAAGTCATTTTAGTCTGGCAAGAGACTATGTCTGTACAAGTCTAAATACAATGATTTTGAGACCTTACCTACAGCAAAGACAACCCCTCTGTAATTTTATCCACTCTTATCCCAACTGCTGACCACATTTAAATACCTTTTGCTAAGCTCACTGCCAGATACTGTCACACTGGACATGAAGGAGAGCCAAAGGGGAAACAACTGAAAATGGAAATGCTACTTTCATGTGCTCATCCAGACATAACTTTCCCTGCCACCTTCTTTGCAAAACAAGTTTCAGTCACCCAGTTTGAATATACAGATTCAAATTCTCCCAGAACTTCAACTTTGGATATGAGTGGTAGCTGGAACTTCTCTCTTTTTTTCTAGTCAAATGCATCAAAAGACAATGAGAAAGGCTGAATGATTCATACTCGTGGAATGAAATACCATTCACAAACGTTTTTTCCATAGCAATTTGTCACTTATTGTATTGAAACCACTTCAGAAGATGTGTCTCAAAAAGCCTTTTGATATTAACATGATTAAAACCATAATGCAATTAGGCAATCCCATAATATTTCTGTATGTTATATGAGTGGGACCTCAAGTGACCACTTCATTCAAGCCCCTCATAAATGGCTGCTTCCAGCAGAAGGCTGTTAATTCTGCATCATGCCTCAGATAGTTGTAGAACACCGAGGACTTCAAATCTTCTCACCCTAGAGGCATTTTGGCTCACCAAAATTCAGCTTTGGTGTTGGATCTAGCCTACATGTCTCAAACCTTCCAAAATCAGCCAAGAAAGATGCACTTCTCGAGACCTCTGACCACTTCAAAACTGGTATCTAAAATCAGTGGAAACATTGGCTCTCCAGATGTGTCCTTCTCTGTTGGCTACCTAGACATCCACCTGGATGTCTAGCACTTTTCCTGTTGTTCCTCTCAAGTGTTGGCACCTATGCACATACCAAACTTGCTCACATCTCCACATCAATTTCCTATACCTCGAGCAAACTATTATGCAAGTACACACAACTTTGCATTCACACAGGAGACTGCATTAAAAAATCCTTCCATGAGATGTAGACATAAAAGTTCTTGTCATCTTCCACAGTGCCGGCTGTGGATCCCTACCTGCCGGGCAGTTGCATCGCTGGTATGTGTCTCGAACTTCTCGATGTCTTGGCAAGTGGAACTTTAATTTCTGCCAAGAGAGGAAAAACAGAAAAAGGATTAATTTGTACCATTGAAACCAAAGCCTCAAATTCTTGAAAAAGTGGAACTGGGAGGGGATGCTGCACAAGTAGAGATGGAAGAGACAGGGCAGAACAGTTTGGGAACGAAGAAAGGCAATAAAGTTCATAGCCCCTAACTAGAAATGCAGGGTTTGATTGAAAGCAGGCTGAGGGAGTTTCGTAATGGCCTCCAAATGTGGTCCTCCTGACAGGCATTACAAAACCAAGAGCCAGCAGTGGCAAATAAATTGGTGACAGTGTCCTCGTGACAAAGCCGTATTTCTCAGGAGACCCACTCAGTGGGCAGAAAATGAAGATCTGAAGCAGGTCTTTTTCCACCCTGCAGCACATTCCTTATGTTCTTGGAAACACCTGGATAGACAGAAGGGTCTCACTGCAAGATTATGGCTGAAGATGAACTGAAGATTATGGCTGAAGATGCAAACAGCAACAGTATCCCCTGAAATCTTCAGATGCTGTGAAACTTAATTTTCCCCCCAAGGGCAGAACACAAAAAACCTGTCAAGAGCTTCCACAAGGTGGAATTTTGTCAGAATGATCATTTCATACATGAGTTTGGATTTCTAATGGTGCCAGCATGCCAGTCTCCTGCTCTCTGGGCCCATCTGTATATCTCTTGAAGGGCAAATAAAGTCCACCTGAGGTCAGTGCATCTTCCCTCGCTGAGAATGTCAACAAAATTAACCCATGTCCTGAGCAAAATGCACTTCAGGGGTAGCGTCCCCACCACCCCTCACAGACTTTGCAAAATAACCGTAATTTAGTGAAGAAAATGCAAATCAATCCAAATAGGTTATTCATTAATGCCTGCGAACCACACTTGGTTAAATATTTGAAAACACTGAGCTGCTGGGGTTCCTAAGCTCTGGAGTCACTCTCTCTTCCCTCCTTACCTGCAAGCCCAGCTTCCCATCCCCACTGAGCCTTCCTGTTTTTTGAACTTCCTCACAAGTGGGCCAATATTTCAAAAGAAATAGCCTTATCAGAAGACAAGCCCTGCCCAAGATCATATAGAAATTGCTTTATTTTCACAAGTAATTGAGCATCTTCCTTCTATCAGTTTGGGGAAAAATTCTTTTAGAGAGGATAAAAGTAAATCAACTTTTTTCCGCCTGGGATGAAGGAAGCCAAAATTGGCTGGAATATTTCCATTTATTCACTTTGAAAGGACTGGCTTCCTCATTGCAAGTCAAAAGACTAACAGTTGTTGTGACCGACTAGAAATTAAATATTTTCAGAGCTTTATTTTGCATGGTAGATTGAAATGTTTTGATAGCAAGTTGACTTGATAGCATGGTGAGGAGAGGGTTTTAGGCAAGGAAAATTGGCAGTTCCCATAGAGCATTTCATCGATGTTTACCTTCTCAGCTAAAAGCACAGATATGCGAATTTCTGCATCTGGGCACGTTCCCATGCTGCTGCCACCCCAGATGGCACAGCTCTGCTCTGCAGCACTGCCTGGCTTCTAACTGCTAGTGGTCAAACATGAGCACAAGCAGGACAGCAGAGCCTTTATTTGGATACTCACTGGTGTGTGGACACACACAGCCCCATTCCCATCCAGAAATGTGCCAACCAAAACATCTCCAACGCCAGACTGCCACATTTGGGTGGTGCTCCCATGTTTGCGAATCAGGCTTAGACAAGGAAGGGATGATGGTGTGCAATGGCAGGAGCAGAAAGCCACTGCCAAGCCAACAAGGGTCCAAACACCCTGCATGCAACAGGGACCTTTACAGGACAGAGATCTGCAAGGAAACATGGAAGAGATCCCTGCCCCACCAAGTGCAGAGACACTGGAGGGACTGTAGGGGGGGAATGGCCAAGTTAGGCTGTGCTGCAAGAAGCCTTGGCTGGGTTGCTGTGCAGGCTTACAAAGAGAGGAGCAGCATAACTGGACAGGGAAGTGATGACCCAGCAGGACTAGAGCATGACTGGGAACGGAATAGGGCTGATAACATTTCCCTGAGGCTTTATCTGCAGGGTCAAGGTAGTGGAAAGACCTGGAACAACTGAAATAGCCTTCTCAAGGCCAGGGGCCCCTGGGAGGGAGGTACGGGTGCTGCTGGGCAGGCTGGAGCACAGCCCTGTGCACCATGAGCAGGCAGCCATCACACACTTACCAGCATTTGGACATTCTGCCCCATCCCTCGTGTTTCCCTCAAGCCCAAGAGCTCTGCACATCCCTGGGGAGTGCAAAGGGCAGTGGTGCCGTGGGACTGCTCCCCTTTAGCGGCAGGCACAACCTACCAGGGATTTAGGAGCACCTGGTGTTCATTCCCCTGCACAGTCTATTAAACAAACACTGCCACAGAAAAAATCCTTGGCTCTTGGAGACCTCAGTTCAACTTTGGGTGGAGATGGCAAAACAAAACAAACCCCCCAGCCTTTTCTGCTTCCCTCATTTCCACTGTGCAAAATATTGCCTGGTCCAACACAAGAAGCTGGCTTTGTTCAGGAGAGCAAACCAAATGTACATCCCTCTAAAAATGTTATTTCCAAGAGAAAACTTTCACTCCCAAGCAACAGAAAACCATTCAATTTTAGGGCAAGATTGGTTTCTGTGAGGAAATCTTAAAAGGAGGTGGGTTCTGGAAATCTAGTGTTAGCAATCTCTTTCCTGGGATCTGCATTTTCATCTGGGGGATACCTGGAGCTTGTAACATCAAGAGCAGCAACAGGCTGCCTTCCAGAAAGGTTGAAAACAGTTCCTATGGAGGGGATTGCTTTGTTAGCAGAGCCTGCTCTCATCTGTCACGTTATCCAGTGACATAACAGCTGCATCTTCCCCCTACACCACGACAAGTGGCTAAAGAAATCCTTTGCCAGCGCTGGAGCCACAGCTGATCGCCCCCACCTGCACCTCTGTGGATTCAGGGAGCCATGGCACATTGCTGAGTGCGAGGAAAGGGAAAATCCCATCTGCAAGACGGCAAGGCCAGGAGGTCATGCAGAAACACTTGCTGGGAATGGGCAGTAAAGTCAGCACAGGCTTTTCCCATGGGTTTTGTTAATTCACCACAAGCGTGACAGGACAGGGCTGACACGGGTGGACAGAGCAGTGACAGCAAGATCACTTCTGACATTAAAGGACCATGGCTGCACTCTCCTAAACCTTGCAAGTGCCTGTCTATTTTGGATGGGCACTTGAGATTAGGTGAGAGGGAGGGCACTTCTTCAAAGGGGGCAGATTAATAGCTCTTTAGCATCCCCAGTTGTTTGCAGTCACCCGGGGAGGCGAAATCATTTCCCACCACTATCTCCAACCGCTAAGAGAAACACATTTTAAATAGATAATCTATTACAACCATCAGGAGGATTTCAGGGGTGGGTTGTTAACTCTTATTGTTTTACCTCTAATTTCCCCATTTTTTCTTAAAGGCCCAGGTCCTAGGATCATGGGACCATATGGCACAAAGCAAAAGTGAGCAGTGAGTCCTCCCAGGTGGAGCAAAAAGCTTGGAAATAACACCACCTAGGTACAAGGATTACAAGCAGCTGAAAGGAAATAGAACTTAGCTACCAGAGAAGCTGAAAGAAAAAAAAAAATAGATCCCCCGACTGTGGAGCAAAGAACGCTAAGCTAAAGATGTGGGCAGGGGATGCTTAGAGCAAGGTTACAGACCCTGGGAAACAAAGCAGTGTGCTTTGAGATTTGGAATAAAAGAAGGGGAGAAAAACACTTCAAGTCAGGAGGGAAAGAGTTTTCTAGTGTCCCTCCTTTACTTGCACAAGTAAGGAAAGAGTTCCAGAGAAATTAGACTATTGAGAAAGCAATGAGGATCAGTGCTCCCTCCCCATTCACAGGCAGATTCCTGAACCCCTTCAGAATCACTAAAAGTACAACAAACACCTTCAATACAAGCCCCTAAGAAGGCTGAGGGGCAGCTGATCTTCCCCCAGGGTGCACAGGATTACCTGCTGCTGCATCACACGTACACATTTCTATCTCTACAAATTCACAAATTCTGGGATTTCTTTTTCTAGCAACAGCTCTGAATCCATCCCATTCTCCACCCTGATGAGCTTTTGGCAAGTGAAATAGCACCAAGTGCTCCCCAGCATGGGAAAGGACTTTGTTTTCTCCTTTGGAAAGATTTGCCTCTCTTGCAAATGCCAGTAGTGAGCTTATTTGTGCTCCTTGTATGATTTTATGACGTCTCATAAATGCAGAGGAATTCAAATTCCTACATGGAGTTAAAGTTCTCCCTGTACTACCTGTTTCTAGCCCATTCTGCACAGATGTTTTTACAAGAAAACCTAGTCAATTTGAGTCTGGTAGAAAATTCCCTTGTGGTATTCGCCTACACCAGGCAGAGGTTTACACAGTAGCAAATGAAGCCCTGGTCAGGCTGCTTCTGGGAAAGCATCTGCCGCCCTCTCCTCGCTCCTCCTGAGCTGAGATGGAAACTCTGCCACAGCCAGCTGGTGGCTGTGCTCGAAAACCAGGCTCCGAGATGGAGAAAACATCCCCACCAGCTGCCTTAAAATTAACATCTTAAGCAAACCACCCCAGCTTCTCTCCCTGCCACTTTGCTTTATTTTTCCATATCTAGAAGAAAGGCCTCTAAAAGGACTTTGGCAATATGCACTTTTCAGTGCAATCTGTATGGTGTCCCTTGCTGATCCTTGGGAACACCTAGGGCACACCTGGGCACAGTCATGGCCCAGAATGGAGGGCATTACACACTCCAGCTCAGAGCAGTACAGGTTTTGAGCATAACCTTAGATCTCCTCTATCAGCCCTCTCAGACTACTTAGTTATACCCCTCTAGCTCATCTTCACAGCCACCAGAGCTAGAAATGTGCTCCTGTGCTGTGCCTTCTCTCCCACCTCTGATCAGTTTTTTCTAAAGCTGGGGTTCCTTTAAAGCTTTGCTATTTTATTTTGTGATGGATAACAGTGAGCTGGCAGCTGTTAAACCCATTAAGGTTGAAACACCAGGAAATGGTGAGGATGTGGCAATGAGAGGCGGCAAGGGTCTGAGCAGGGCGAGATGAACATCCCACTTTCATGTCCATCACAGCAAACCCATCTGCAGCCCCTCTCCCCAACTCATGGTCAGCACAACTTATTTTGCTTTCCTTACTTTTTTTCTCCCATCCTTTCCCTGGTCCCTTTACCTACCCTGTTTTTCTCCATCCTTGCCCCTCATCAGTCAGTCCTGTGCCCCACTTCAGACATAATGAAAAGGAGAACCGGAATTTTTCTTTTCTAATCAAAAGCCTCATAGGGCAACCCACCATCTGTCCACCAGCAGCCCCTTGTCCTAGAGCTCGAACTGCCTGGGTCATGCCAGTGCTTCTGGCTGAGTGTGGAGGTCGAAGGTTTAAATGCTTATCAGAAGTGGGCAGCACAGCTGCAAAGGGTGTCCTCCCTGGGGGACAGAGCCCACCTCCCCCATGGGCATCAGACCTTCACAGGTATAAAGGGACAGGAGACGTGGGCCAGGCACCCTTTCTCCTCCACAGTCTCCAGCACTTTTCTCCAAGCTCTTTTTGAAGCTGTGGCTCAGGATGAAGCTGGTAACCCTGGCAGTACTCAGAGCAAGTGCTGGCCCCTCAAGCAGTCATTCCTGTCCTACAGCTGTTCCCCACACACTGGCTGCAGTGGGGACTGTGGCCACCCCTAGGAGCACAGGAGGAGCTGCTCCGGAAACAGGGGTGCTGCTGGGCACATGGGCATCATGAGACCCCAATTTCCTCGCTAAGCTGAGCTATAAAAAGGTGGAAAGGTGTCGCAGCCAGCAGAGCCAGCAGGACACAGGGCCATCCGGCCCCAGGCACCATTCCTGGGAGGCACTTCTCAAATCTCGGTAGAGATAAACTTCGACTTCACAGCAGATATTATGCCAGCAGCAACAGAGGGATTGCTGCACTATCCCCTGCCTGGTGGCAGGGAAAGAGTCCTTGCCTGAGAGTGCAACCACAGGGCACAGATCCAATCACTCGCAATACTTCTGCCTCCCCAAACCCCTTTTTAAAGTAGGATATTGCCCCATGGACCCTGTCTTTCCCTTATTCCTCATCCAAAGAAGCAACTCAAAACCGTATCCTTCAGCTCCTGCAGTGTTTGCTAACTCAAGGTTCACAGCTTTTGGCTGCACACCCCAGCAGATCCAGGGACTGCTCTCACAAGACCCATAAACAGAAGCGGAGCCTGACAGCTGTAGGTTTAGACTCCTCACCGCAGACTTTCACTGCTCCTAGAAAGCAGGAGGGGGTCCAGGTCACCCCTGGTGCCAGGCAGCAGGGACCTGGCGGCAGGTCCCAGTAGTCAGCACTCTGATCATCCCATTCCTCGCGTCATCTGGTAATACCAGCCCAAAAGAGATTTTTTTCCAGCTACAAAGAGTTTTTGGGCTAGCCCTAGGGATCTCTCTAGCATGACTCAAGCCAAAGCTAGAGTAAACAGAGAAAAGGAGAGTTGGGTGGAAATGGCTCCATCCCTGAATTTCACCCCCAAGCCTCTCCTAGAGCTGTGGGAACAGTCCAGTGGGGACCTGTCTGGAGAGTTCAGCAACATGAGCCACCATCTGCTCCCTGACGCATGTCAACACCACTTCAAAGCCCAACAAGGCAAGGAATACTCATCGCAGTCAGAGTAGAGGAATACAGACAGCCCACAGTAGCATCAACACAGCAACACCTTTTAGTGTCAGCAACAACAATCTGCGCTTTTGAGCCCTCTTTATTGACCTGCTGAAGCCAGTAGCAGCATTCCCCCATCACCAGAGGAGGAACAGGGTCCAGTGGAGTCTGGATGGGACTCAAGTGAGTATAACATAGCCATATGCTCTATATTGATGCCCTGGCAGTAGCAGAAACCATCCTGGCAACACCAGTGTGTCTCATTTTCCTGAGCCAGGAGCTGTGAAAGGGGTCAGGGCTGGTGCAGCAGCAATGCCAGCCCATCACAACATTGGTGTGTTTGCAATTACCTCTTCCCATAGCCATGTTGGCTGTGACATGCCTTACACCTGTCCCCTTCCGGGGCTCAAACCCATGCTGAATCCCCAGGTTTAACCTCTAATTCTAACTCTTTCAGCATGCAAGACTCCTGAAGAGAAGGGCTAGAGATTTTTGCCTCCCCAGCAGGATCAGGGTTGAGGCTTTCCTCTTTGCAAAGTGCAGGCTACAGCTACAGCATGGGCTGAGAAGAGAGAAGTAAACGCCAAGCAAGTTTGAGAGGTGGGAGGGACCTGAAGGAACAGGGAATTCAACCTAGCAGCAGCATCATTCATGCAAAGATTCTAAGGAAAAGGAAAAAAATGGATGATGTGACTATGCAAGCGTGCATATGCCTAAAACCTATAATACTACAAACTATACATGCAAAACTAAAGAACACTGACCTCATTGAGCAGTTGGTCAACTCTTCCCAAAATAGCTGTCTCCATTTGGTCTGCTGAGAGCCAGGCAGGGAGCTGCGTGGGTCTGTCTGCTTCCAAGTGGGACACCCGGGACTGCAGATCGGAGGTCCGAAAGTACAGCAGGAGGCTCAGCACCAGAGAGAGCAGGGACACGCCAGGCAGCCCCGAGCCCAGCAGGAGAGGGAGGCGGCAGCATCTCTCCCCATCGCCACTCCTGGGGGGAGCCACACACCCCCTGTCAAAAGCTGCTTCGTCGACTCCTTTCCAGCTCTTCTCCTCCAACATTCCCTCCCTGTCCTGAGAAACAATAAATAAATAAATAGAATAAATAAAGCTTCACTCCTACTCCAAGACGCACAATCCAGAAGGCATAGAAAAAGAACGTCGAAGGGAATCCCAGTGCCAGCAAATCAGAAGTGACAGCAATAATGACAAAAGTGGATGGGGTGGGGGGTGTCTTTAAAAAATAAAAACAAACCACACACACATAAAAGGGGTGCAGAAAAAAGGGATCCAACTGCAGCAAAGAATGCGAGGGGGGAAAAATAATCTGATCAAGATTTTTTTTTTTCCCTCCTGTTTTTTTTCCTTCTATTTCAGTCTTTTGGTTCGCTGGTAGGTTTTTGATTCTTTCTAAGCTGTCAGTTTCAGTTCCTTCGCAGACTGGCAAGGAGCTCGCACATGAAAGTCCCCATTAGAGAGAGGTAATTCTCAGCTGCTCCGGCGACGTTGTGCTCTGACTGATCGTGGCTCCCCTGTAACATGACACACTCCCTCCGAACTACGGGGCTGGGATGAGCGAGCTGCGCGGCTTCCCAAAGTAACCTCCTCTGCTCGCCCTCTCTCTCCACCTCTCCCCTTGCTGCATGATTTATTTATTTATGCAAAGCGCCGGGGTGGGATCGGGCAGTGGGACGCCCCTGTCCTGCTCGGTCCCCAAACCACCTCTGCGCCGCCAGCCCTTCCCTTTGAAGTGACTCTCGCCGAGGTTATTTATAGTGGCAGGAAAGAGATTGTAAAGCAGAGGCTGGGCTCACACCAGCCTGCATCTTCCTTTCCTCCAGGCAGCCGAGAGCACTTTATGGGATGGTACAAACGGGCTGTCGCGCCCCCCACGCAGATCCTGGGACAGCCATGAGGCACTGACAGTGGGGTATTTGGACCCCAACATTTTGAGGAGAGCAGCCAGGCAGGATGAAAAGCAGAGGGAAACATCTGGAAACAGGAGCTGGCAGCTGAGGGCTGTGCAAGAAATAAGTGAAGGGCAGCAGGGAGAAACACCCCAGGCAAGCAAGCTGCAGTGCAAGGGGGGGAACATTTGGGGGTACAACCTGCCAAGAGTGTTCAGAGGAAGTAATCTGCTGAGGCCCTCTAGTGAAGCAGAACTTCCCATCATCTCCGTGTCCCACCAGGCACAGGGCACCAGACAGACAATCCCCCTTTGGCAGCGAGCAGTCTCCCCAAAACGTGCCGTAGGGCAGCTCTGAGCCATGCGTCTGGGAAACAAAGCCTCCTTCTGTTCTTCAGCAGCAAGGGAGGGCCACGTCTCCCAGTTTTTCTGAGCATAACATACAATATTTTATCCTCCAGGGTGACATGCAGGCTCTGCTGAGCCCCTGCCTGTCTGTCTGTCCATTCTTTCATCCTCTCCTTGAGCACGCTCAGCAGTGAAGCAGGACAGCTCACCGTGGTGCACAGTCATTAAAACCCAGGCAGCAAATTGGTCTCTTAAAATCTGGCTCCCTTGTGGCTATTTTGCTGTCATTTACACATTTTAAATGAAGATTTTGCGTGCAGTCTGTGCTGGAAATTAACTGGCAGAGAAAACTCATATTCATCTCTGGCCTGGTCTCTGTTTCAGGGGGCTGGAAGAGATAGACCTTCTGGGAGCGGGTTAATGCAAGCCCGAGCTGTTCCTCCTCCACCAGACAAACCCTCGGAGGGCCCGGTAGCACACAGCCCCAATTCTTTGAATGGCCTCATGCCTTTCACAGCCACTCACTTCCCAAAATGGGGTTTTAGCGTCTGCGAGGCAGGAAATCCTTTCTTTATTTCTTTTAGTGGGTTTCTTGTCATCTCACTGTTCAAATTTGTGTTGCTGTTCTGGCACGCAGGGAAAACACCCCTCTGATGGCTGCAGCCTTTCAACAGTTTTTCATATGAGCAGGGCAGAGATGTGTAACCCACAGATCCGGCGCACAAAGGGTGTCTATTTGTTCAGGAGGTGTAGCCACCCCAGTCTCCTACCCCCTGCCCAGTCTCCCCCTGTGTTAGCAGCCTACTTCATTACAAAAGGAAAAGGAGTCTTTGAGGCCCGGCTCCATGGGAGTTACCCAAGTTACCACCTGCAATCACAGCAAATAAGTAGACAGAGAGAAATGAAAGCAAGATGCCTAGAGGCTGATGATACAGTGTTTGAGAAGCAGAGATCTTCTCAGAAAAATACCAGTCAGCAACTGGTGCTGAATGACCTAGAGAGTGCTGCAGTACACTATCTCAAGACTGGGGTTGAACTACTGATGACTGCAGCTACCTGCCTGTGTTACACAAAATCTCACCTAAGGCTGTCTCTCTCCCCACCCTTTATACCAGCCTAAGCACTGAAAGCACAAAAACACACCCTCTAAGCTAAAAATGGAAATCTGGGTGTCTACACCACATTTTCCCCCACTGGCTGGGGAGAGCTCTCTGCTCTTTTGCACTGGTTTTTGATACAGATCCTGCTGTCCAGACACGAGCATCGCCTGAATGACTCTGTAAGTGCTTTTTCCTGCCTCCCCGCCAGCCCCTCTCCAGCTGATCAGCTCATTTAGAGGGTATGTCATAGTTGCTGCAGGCTGGGGAGCTGCAGTCAGACGGGTTTCACGGAGAAGCCTTAGCTGCAGATGTGCAGGAGGGTAATTCTTCTATCCATGAGATATTACGGAGCCCTGTCATCCCATGCCAATAGAGATGGACTAATTTAGCCACAAACCTGAGCCAACTGTGCATGTTGAGTCTGCAGCACTGCTCAACAAAAAAGCTGCCTTCAGAAAGAGGCCTGGCATGTGGAATCACCTCAGCACTCCCTGAGTTGAGCACAGCCTGGACTTCTGCTCTCTCAACGGCCTGAGAGGAGGTGAGCACTGGCCTGAAACCAGTCCTCCTGCAAGTTCGTGACTCTCAAAGTCGGTCAAGTAGAAACAAATACTCACTTGCAATCAGGAGTAATTTCACTGACTAGTGACTCTTAGAAAGCCCTGTACATGCTGAGCTTGAGGCTGCATCCCTCTTTCCTTGGGGAGATTGATGATATTCCTTAAAAGGACAGTGACCACACAGTTCCATCGCTTCTAACACGTCTTCCAGGATGTTTAAGGACCTCATCACAAACATACAAAGAACTGGAACAAATAGAACTCACATATAACTTCCCAAAGCAGCTAAAACTCCTCTGTACAACAAAAAGGTTTCACATCTACCCCACGGCACTGGTTCTGATGTGGCAAGACTCCAGCTTGGTCAGTTTCAAGCTGGCACAGGCACTTTGTCTTTCTCAGGGACATCTGTACGTGGGCAAAGCACCTCATAGAGTTTGCCCAGCACTGCTCTGCAACGATGCTCACAATATGTGGGGATTCCTCATATGGAATGTGACCACAATGTGGTCTTGCTGCAACAGACCACAAACCCTCTTTGACCCAAGGCAGGTACTGTGTACATGAACCACTCCATGCCACAGGCCAGAAATGGATAGAGCTGGGCATGGATGTTCTTGCTTCTATAAGCACAGTTCAAGCCAGTGAGGTATCTACAACAGGACTTCACCTGTAAAGGGATAGGTAACAGAAGCAGGCTTTCCTCACCTTCCTTCACTTAAAGACAACCTTCCATTAAAAAAATACTATGTCCTTCCTGACACTAACTGGAAGTTGAAGCCCGCTGCCTGGAGATGCCATGTGCTCAATCCTGTCACTAATCTTCCCCTTTTCCAACCATTTACTAGGGAGAAAATCCCCACCCCAGTTCTCTTTCTGCTCTTCTGCTTCCCCCTCCCCCCACCCCCTGCAGGAAACATGGGGGTCTCAGTGTGCTCAAACCACCATTAACTAGCAGCCGACATCTCCAGCTATTGTAAATATATTAACTCAAGGCCTTTTGCTGCATTTATTAGACTCAAGAACAACATCTGGAAACAGATGTTTTCTGAGCAGAGCAGAGAGAAGGAAGGAGGGTAACAAAACAAGGGGGTGGGAAGGACTTTTGCAAGTGCAAGTACATGGTCTGCAGACCATCCCTTTGCAAAATGCTGCTCAGATGGAGCACTGCAAGGGGCTGAGGCAAGTGCAGCCACATCCCTCCAAGGCAAGGCAGTGACAGTGGAACATCTTAGGGGGGCTGCCTGACAGAAACAGCAATGGGGGAATAGGAAAACCCACATCAGTTTTCAGGGCCCCTGTGAGGAAAGATCAGAACTCTCTCACACAAATGGGACAGACACTGGGGCAGAGAAATTTAGGTTTTTTTTTCTTTTCCTGGTCACAGACCTTCCCAGTCCACAGCTGCTCTATATCCTAGAGGCTGGCATGCTTATAGTGGGACAACATCACCTCCTTAACAGTTTGGCAGCATCTGCCACTGGACTCATAGTGTAGGCAAGGTCTAGGGCTCCCACAGTATCCTGTCTGTCCCAAGCAGCCTGTTCTCAAAAGACAAGCAGAGTGGAAACCTCCCATGCCAGGGACTCTGAAGGACCAGCGGTCCTGCTCTGATGTGGAGTCTTGATGTCATGGCTCAAATTCAGACAATATTTAGAAAATGACACAGTTTTAACTAGGGACATAAAGCACACATGCATACTTAAAAATATATCTCATGGCAGTATTGCGAAACTCCATTCTCAACTAGATACACTTTGGCTTAGGTACCAGAGATGCCTAAGGTACAACAGAGGTCTGAGATCAAAGCTTCCCTACATTTCTTTTGTGGGAAATGCAGTTTTACACATACACATACTCTCACTTTTTATTAAAATAAAACTAAAGGCAACAAACAACTCCAAAAACTAAGACAGAAAAAACCAAAACCCCATAACAAGTATTTTGTCATCTTTAACCTCAAGTTCACAATGGGTATCTCCACACCCTTGTCTCTCTGAGATGCAATTACACATACTTTGCAAGTAAGGTCAGGAATACTGAGTATTACCTACCTAATTTGGTATTTGTTTATAAGAAGTATTAAGAGGCCTATGGAGCAGAACAATTCCCGCACAAGGAGCTGCTCTAACCCATTGTGGAGTTATAGAAAAAAGACACATTTGATCCTTTGGGAAAAGGGTTATGAAAATACATGGAAAAAATATACTGTCCGTGCATAGTAATACCATGGCTGTTTTCAATCACTTGGTCTCCTACAAAACAAAGGGGTTCACTGCACAATATGAACTCCTAGCACTGGTAGCAGCAAAGGAAGCAAGCAAGAAGCAAAGTTAGTAGTATCTGGTTAGGGTTTTATATTTTCATAACCCTAAAATGCCTGAGCTCGTTGTTGCCTCCCTCCCAACAAAGCCAAACTGCCTTTGTGCAGCTGCAGTGCTGGGAACCTCTCCCCAGAGCTGTGTGAGAACAGCCAAGCAGAGCTGAGCTGCGTCCAGGGTGGGAGCATGGCCACCAGCAGCTCCTGCAGAGGCTGGGTCAGAGCTTCCAAGGGAGGATGGAGCAAACACAGGTTTTGCACAGTTTGGGGCCACCCCTTCTCCCACACACCCCGCAGAGGGAAGGCTTTACTGGAGGAAAGCACGGGACAGCAAGTGGTGGACACACAGTTATAGTGCCCACGCCTGTCCTTGTGTTTTCAACTAACCTCTCACCTTTTGTTCAGATGATGAGGGAAATGGCTCTGAGGAAACCAGGCTCTGCACCCTTCTTCATGGAGGAACTTTTTTCTCACAGCAGAAGCCCTTCATGGCCAAGAAGTATTTCACAGGAAAAAGTTTTATTTCTTTGCAGCAGTTATTTGGTTTTTTGTTTCTTGCTGGGCTTGCTCTTCCTTCTTTGGAACTGATTTTTAATTTTCAGTGCCACTGGAGTCTGCAGAGATGGTCATCTCTGCTAGGCTGCTTTTTGCTGTTATCTTGGCTCCTGCAGAGCCTGGGTGGGAAAGAG